TTAAAATCATTTTCTTTTTTTTTGTTTTTCTCTTCCCTACGAGAAGATGTCTCCAGATTGGCAGTATCCTATTGTAGAGTGGGGGTCAGACGAGTTGTAATTTCTAGTCCTAACTGGATTAGTGCGGCAGGTCGCATTTAGGTACCGTTTGGGTGGCCAGATGATGGTAGACTTATAAGTTAAATGATATTCTGTATTTAGAAATGTAGCTACAAATAGTTTAATAAAGTACTACCGTGACTGCTTAAGGAAAAAAAAAAATAAAAATAAAAATAAAAAAAAATAAAGCTATGCAAAAAGTTTTGACCAATAGTCCTCAAGACAGTATCTATAATATATAGGTATATATTGTAAATTAACTATTAGTCAATTCACTTTTGTATAAGTTTTTATACTGACATATACAATATGGTTACTGTTTACAAAGTGCAATATAATCAGGGTTTTTCGAAGTATTGATACTGATTCTAGTAGATGAAACATTACACATTTTTTATTATCCTCATCAAAGTTGGCTATATAAATAGAAAAAGTGTCAGCAGCTAATTGTGCACAGTTAGGTGACAAAAACCAAAGTGATGGTGAACATAGAGATGCCTGAGACTCTAATATCTGTATAAGTAAGTTAATATTATAGTTCAACCATTTTTCATAAACTTCTATATGCTTATTCAAATAGCTATTCATGGCTAGTTTGATGAGACACCAACTTTTTTTATTGCCTCTAATGGCAAAAGCAAGTGCTCGAAATCTACAATTTCTATCACTTTTTGGATCATATACTTGATCTATATCATTAGCTGAAATTCGAGAGTTCAATAAAATCTTTGATCTTTTATCTATAAATAATAATAAATTAATAATTGTATATTAATAATTTGTAATTATTAAAAATAAATACTACTATTAATATGAAATATCAAAATATTTTGCAAAGAACTAATATCTCTAATTTGTATTGTTTTAATATAACTGATTTGTTTTTTTTTAGTATTACCAATTTTCTTTTTTTTTGTTTCTGCTTTCATATATTCTAATGCTATTGGTAATCATTTGGTTTCAGAAGAATAACCCTTTTCTATAATTTTTTCTAAAATTTTTATTTTAGAAAGTTTTGTTTTCAGAACTGCCAAAATGTTATCAAGTTTTTTTAAAAAAGTCGATTTTTGCTGTTTATCTGAAAAGTTTATATACTGTGTTTCAATTTTATATAATCGAGACTTGAATGAAAAATTATTAGAATAGTTGAGAATGGGCTATTTTTTAAATAATTGGAATTATTTTGATCTTTGTCTAGAAACAGTAACCATCTTTTTGGTATAACCGATAGCATAACAAAACCTTTTATTAGAAATATATGTCAACAGAGTATATTATAATTGACACATAATTCACATAAACAAGCCTTATAGATAGTTGCTTTAAGAAGCTCATTCTTGATCTTATTCAGAGCAAATTGTGCCACCTTTCCTAAAAATGGTTCTAATCGATTCTTGTCATCCAATGTTAATAAAGGATCAATATTTATACTTTCATTTTCATATTGCAATAATCTTTCCTCATGATATAAATATAGCCATCTGTCTAGTGAATTAAAAGATTTCATTAAGCTTCTTGAGGACTCAATAGCATGCCTCATAGCTAAATGTGCACCTTCAACATATTATGTAGTTGTAAAGCCAAAATGCATTATTCTGCTAGTATAAACACCAACCCACTTCTCTTTAACTTTCATTATTCTATAAAAAAAATTTAAATATTAAATTAATATAGATTTGGGTATTAAACCAATACTTATATTTAAGACTCTTTTTAACACTTTTCTATTAAGATATTTTATTGCTTTATTTGCATTTAAATTTGAGGAGGCCAAGGCTTTATATGAAACGGTTATTAAATTTAATGATTCACAATCTCCTGAATAGATAATTAGTTCTACTATTTTTATAATTTCATCATAAGAATCATCTATAAAATGTTTTTTTAAATTTTTTTTGAAATTATTCAAAATATGCCAAGTATATAAAAGACTTTCAGATTGGAGAAAAATTTTTTTAAGAGCACCGATTAATGTAGCATCATTATCTGTAACAAATACAGAAGGAACAATATCAAAAAACATAAGAGAAAAGAGCTTTTCTAGCATCCAGATATATGATTTCTCAGATTCATCTGAGATCCAAGTATCTGCTATACCAAAGGTTTGTAATCAGTTAACCTCAATATTACTAACACTGACAAAATTTATGAATATTAGTTTATAAACATTTATTTTATAAGTTGCGTCAACTAAAATAACTTCTGGAAAACACCTAGCATCTTTAATTGAATTATTATGGCAGAAAAAAAGATGTTTGATATGCCTATCTGTATATAAATTCAACATTAATATAAAAATATATAAAATTTCTGAAATAATTTTAACTAAATAAAAATAAAAATATAAGATATTTATCTTCTTGATCTTTACAACAAACAATGTATCTTCTTTTTTTCATATTTGTTATTAGTGCTTCCATTGATGCATTTTCTTCTAAAAGATAAATTTGTGTATCCAAATTAGAGATATCTTTTCTTGTCACAGTTGGCTCACCATTTTCATCTCTAATAGCTTCATAAATCATACTAGGTTTGGCACCAGCTTTTAGCATCTGCACAGCTGTGCATTTCACATCTCGTGTTAATCAGCAATGTTCAGGAAAAACTCTTGAATCCTTAACTATAAGATGATTATGTCTATTTATCACTTTAATAATCTGCCATCTAGAATTTTTAGGAACAGCCTTTAATAAAAATAGACATTCACATCACTTGCTTAATTTTTTTTTGACATGTATTTGTTGTTAGATTTGAGGTATTTCGAGGTTGACCACTGTGTTTACATTAAAAATGGAAATGACATAAACCACTACTTTTAATATTAACTGCAAACCCAGAATATCGAGCTATTTCCTGAACTTTATTAAGAATATCTTTTTTGTAGCAAAATTTTTTTCTAACATTTCAATAGCTAATAGAAAGAAACATTGTAATAATTAATAAGAATTATTGTATTATTATATATTTTATAAAATTATATATTTATTTTTCGTTTCAAATATTTTTGGTATATTTTCTTTATTGGATTCAGTCTTATCCTTATCATTAGATTCAGTCTTATCATTTTCTTTATTAATTTCAATCTTGTCTTACTCATTAAATTCAAACTCATTTAAATTTTCAAGATCACTCATTTATGGTAAGAAACAAGCAAGTGTCCAGTGCAACTATATTCTAGGTAAGTATGAATATTTTGGGGCTATGTATATACAAGTTTTTTACTTTTACTTATTTATTAATCTTTTATTGCATTACAATTAAAATTATTAATAAACTTTCGATTTCTTTGTTTATTTATCGATCCTACGCATCAATGTATTACTTTATTTGTTGACTTTTTATTCTCTGATCCTTTAATTTTCGAGGAACAATATTGATATTATTACATGTATGCATATTACTATAAATCGTATTTGATTGGCTGTCAAAACATATTAAAAAAATGGGGTACTCATGTCGATCGTTGCTGTGCCGATAAAGGAGATAAGTCACGTGCATGCTGTGTCGTTATAATTCCACTTATATTTCGATATATTTTATCACGTGATGATCGAAACTTTTTGGGTGGTGATTTTACCCTGGTCATCAATTTTACATCTGGTCAGTGATCTGCAATTTTGACCAGAATTATGGATAATAGATTTTCTATCAATCAGATGATCAGATAATGTT